TAAATAAATAAATAAATAAATAAATAAATAAATTGTGCTGCTATAAACATGGGTGTGCAGGGGCTGGGGATTTAGCTCAGTGGTTCCACCACCTGCCTCGAAAGTGCAAGGTCCCGAGTTCGATCCCCAGTACCAAAAAACAAAAGGCTTCCTTGTGAAAGTCCCTGTCCAACATGGTGTGCATATATTGCTGTCATATGATGGTTTTAACCCTTTCAGGAAGATACCTAGAAGGTAAATAGCTCAGTCAAATGTAACCTCTAGTTTTTAATTTTTTGAGGAATCTCCATACTGATTTCTATAGTGGTTGTACCAATTTACACTTCCATCAATGATGGATAAGGGTTCCTTTTTCCTCACAGCCTCACCAGCATTTGTTATTGGTTGATTTCTTGATGGTAGCTACTCTTTCTCAAGTGAGACAGAATCTCAGTGTTGTTTTATTTTGCATTTCCCAAGTGACCAGTGATGTTGAACTTTTTTTTGTATATTTATTTTATGTTTCTACTTCATCTTAGAAGTGTCTATTCACTTCAGATGCCCATTTTTTAATTAGGTCTTTAAATTTGGGGTTCTGATTTTTTTGAGTTCTTTGTATAGTCTAGATGTTAGTCTTTTGTCTCAGGAATACCTGGTAAAACTTTTTTCTCATTCTGTGGGTTGTCTGTTCACTCTGTTAGTGCTTTCTTTTGTTGTGCAGAACCACCCTCCACCCCTCCACCCCTCCACTCCTCCACCCTCCATCACTGAGCTAAATTCCCAGCCCTGCAGAAGCTTTTTAATATGATGAGATCCCAGTTGTTGATCCTTGGTGATATTTCCTCTGCGATTGGGGTTCTGTTCATAAAGTTGTTGCCTACACCAGTGTCTTCAAGAGTTTTACCTATTCTACATTCCAGCAGATTTAGTGTTTCTGTTTTAATATTTAGATCTTTGATCCATTACAATTTTACTCTAGTCCATAGTGAGAGACATGGGTCTAGATTTAATCTTCACCATGTGGAAAGCCAATTTTGCCAGCACCTTTTATTGAAGAGGCTCTTTCTTCTGGTGAAGGTATTTGGTACCTTTGTCAAAGATAAGGTAGCTGAGTGTGTTTGGAGTTGTTTCTACATCTTCAGTTTTGTTTTGTTTTTGTTTTTTTACCAGTATTATGCTGTTTTTATCACAGTAGCTTTGTAGTTTAATTTTAAATAAGAGATTGTGATGCCCTCTGCCTTGCCTTTGTTGCCCAGAATTGCTTTTGCTATTCTAGGTCTCTTCTGGTTCCAAATGAATTTTAGGATTGTTTTCTCTAGTTCTGTGAGGTATGCTATTGGAATTTTTATCAAGATTGCATTAAACCGGGCTTGGTGGTGCATGCCTGTCATACCAGCACTCAGAAGGCTGAGGCAGGAGGATCAATGTCAGTTCGAGGTAAGACTGGACTACATAGTGAGACTCTGTCTCAAAAAAAAGGATTTCATTAAATCTGTATAACAGTTTTAGAAGTATAGCCATTTTCACTATATTGGTTCTGCCATCCAAGAACAAGGGATATCTTTCCATTTTCTGATAATCCTCTTTGATCTCCTTTTCCAGAGTACTATAGTTTTCAGTGTACAGGTCTTTTATTTCTTTATATTGATTCCTGAATATTTCATTTTGGGGGGTACTTTGTTAAAGGTGTTGTTTCCCTAATTCTCTCTCAGTAAGTTATTTGTGTACAGGAATGCTATTGATTTTTGAGTGTTGATTTTATATCCAGCTATGCTACTGAAGTTGGTTATTAAATCAAGAAGTCTTTTGGTGGAGGTTTTGGGGTCTTCTATGTAGGGTATCATGTCATCCACAAATAATGATAATTTAACTTCTTCCTTTCGTATCCTTATTCCTTTTATATCTTTCTCTTGTCTAATTGCTCTGGCTAATGTTTTGAGAACTATATTGAATAGGAGTGGTGATAGTGGGGATCCTTGTTTTGTTCCTGATTTTAGAATGAAAGCTTTCAGCTTTTGACCATTTAGTATGATGTTGGCTGTTGGTTTGTCATAGATAGCTGCTTTTATCAGATTGAGATATAGATCTATTCTAATTTTCTTTAGGGTTTTTATCATGAATGGGTGTTGGACTTTGTCAAATGCTTTTTCTGTATTGATGGAGATGATCATGTGGTTTTTGTCCTTGGGTCACTTAATGTGGTGTATTACATTTATTGATTTGCATATTGAGCCATCTTTGCATCCCTGGAATGAATCCTACTTGGTCATGGTGTATAGCCTTCTTGATGATTTGCTGCATTCTGTTTGCCAGTATCTTATTAAGGATTTTTATGTCTATGTTCATTAAGATTGACCTGTAGTTTTTAAATTACTTCTTCAATTTCATTGACTGATATTCTGGTTATTTAGATTTTTTATATCATCTTGATTTAGCTGATAATTCATATGTACCTAGGAAACTCTCCATTTCTTCCAAGTTTTCCATCTTATGTACAGGTTCTCAAAGTAGGTATTGATGATCCTCTGGATTTCTGCAGAATCCGTTGCGATTTCACTCTTTTCATTCCTGATTGCATGAATTTGAGTCTTTTTTCTCTTTTTTTTTTTGATAAGGTTGGCTAAAGGTTTGTCAATTTTATTAATCTTTCAAAGAAGCAACTCTGATTCATTGATTCTTAGTATTGTTTTCTTAGTTCCAATTGCATTAATTTCTTCTCTGATCTTCATAATTTCCTCCCACATACACACTTTGGGTTTAACTTGCTCTTCTTTTTCTAGAAGCTTGATGTTCAATGTTAGTTTATTTATTTGAACTTACTTTTCTTTCTTCTTTTTTTCTTTTTTTTTTCTGTACTGGGGATCAAACTCAGGACCTTGTGCTTGCAAGGCAGGCAGCAGAACCACTCAGCTAAACCCCCAATGAACTTATTTTTCTGATGTGAGGATTCACTGCTATAAATTTTCCTCATAGGACTGTTTTCATTGTGTCCCATAAGTTCCAGTATGTTGTATTGGTATTATCATTTAGTTGTAGAAACTAATTTCTTTTTAAATTTCATTTTTGATCCATTGGTTGTTCAGGAGGGTGTTATTGGATGTGAGGGCGATTTGGCTATTACATCTGTCACCCCATTGATTGCCAGGGTTGATTTGAGTGATCTGGCTGGCCACCACTCCATGTGCATCCCTCCCAAGCCTGCATGCTTGGTCGAAGAGTACAACCATCCCCGATAGAGGAAGGTCATTTCCTTGGTAAAAGGTATGCAAGTATCTGAGCTCCTCTGCTAGAAACTCCAAGTTCTTGGGAGGGTGTTATTTCATTTCCATGTGTTTATGAAGTTTTTATGGTTTCTTCTGCCATTAACTTCCAATTTCATTGGACTATGATCTGATAATATCCATGAAATAATTTTAGTTTCTTTGGATTTACTTAAGTTCTAAGAGCTAGTATGTGGTCTGTTTTAGAGAACATCCTGTGTGCACCTGAGAAGAATGTATATTCTGTTGTGGAGTGGAGCACTCTGTAGATATCTACAAAGCATTTATTCAAAGCTTTGGTCTAGGTCTGATTTTTTTTTTTTTTTTGTCTAGTTGATCTATTTGTGACAGTGGGGTATTGAAGTCCCCTATTACAATTGTATTAGTGCTTATCTGATTTTTTTTTTTTGGTACCAGGGATAGAACTCAGGACCTTGTGTTTGTGAGGCAGGCGATGGCACCACTGAGCTAAATCCCCAGCCCTTACCTGATTTTTCATATGCATTAATGTTCATTTTATATAATTGGGTGCACTGGTATTTGGTGCATATATATTTATGATTGTTATCTCTTCCTCTTCAATTGTTCCCTTAACAAGTTTGTAGTGACCTTTTTTGTCTCTTCTGATCAGTCTTGGTTTGAAATCCACTTTGTCTACAAATAGAATAATTAACCTTGATTTTTTTCTGGGTTCCTGTCGCATGGAACATTGTTTTCCATCCTTTAACTTTCAGTTTATGAATTTCTTTTTGAGTTAAATGTGTTTCTTCTATGCAGCATATTGTTGGATCTTGTTTATTGATCCATTTTGCCAATCTGTTTCTTTTGATTGGTGAATTGAAACCATTCACATTGATGGTTATGACTGATATGTATTGACTTATCCTTGTCAAATTATTTTCCTGTTGTTGGTTCCCTTTCTTTACCTTCTGTTTAATTGCTTACCTTGCCTGGTGGATTCATACTATTGGGATTCATGGAATTGTTGTCTTCATTGTCTTTTTCTTGAATGTCCTTCAGAACATTTTGGAGTGCTGGCTTGGTGCTCATTAATTTTTTCATGTGTTCTTTATCACAGAAGTATCTTCTTTCTTTTTTTTTTTTTTGGTACTGGGGATCAAACTTAGGACCTTGCACCTGCAAGACAGGCACAGTGCCACTGAGCTAAGTCCCCAGCCCAATCACAGAAGTATCTTATTTCTCTATCAATTTTGAAAGATAATTTTGTGAAGTACATCAATCTGAGTTGGAGGAGGGGTTTTTTTGGGAGGGGGTTAAAATACTTCACTCCAAGCTCTCCTTGACTTAAGGGTTTGCGTTGAGAAGTCTAAAGTGAGTCTGATGCGTTTTCCTTTATAGGGGTTTTGTTTCTTTTCTTTAGTAGCTTTTAATATTCTGTTCTTTTGTTGAACTTCTGTAATCTTGATTGTTATATGCCTTGGTGTAGTTTTCTTCTTATAATGGCTAATTGGAGTTCTATATGCCTTACTTATCTGTATGTCACATTCTTTTTTCATGCTTGGGAAGTTTTCTGCCATTACTTCTGTAAATGGTTTTTTTTTTTTTATATCCTTGTTGCTATCTTCTGATTTTACATTGATTCCAATTAATATATATATATATTTTTTGGTACCAGGGATCGAATTTAGGACCTTGCTCTTGCGAGGCAGGCAGTGGAACCACTGAGCTAAATTCCTGGCCCGATTCCAATTAATCTTATTATTCTTCTCTGCATCACCTAGCAGCTGTTGGATTGATTTTTTGTGGTCCCTTGCTATTTTTAAGAAGTCTTTCATTAGATGATCACTATCTGCAAACCTGTCTTGTAGATCTTATATTTTATCTTTTTTTTGGTACTGGGGATTGAACTCAGGACCTTGCGCTTTTGAGGCAGGTGGCAGAACCACTGAGCTAAATCCCTGGCCCTGAGACTGGTTTAAATTACACATTTAAAGTACTTTTATTTTTGTGACAAGTAAAATAATATTTCCCCCTATTTAAATACTACAGTTTGTTTGAATTATATGAAGTGTACAGTTATTTAAAAAGCTTGGCACTAAAGGTTGCTAGCACTCCATATTTTCAGGCAGCCTGAGGAACCAATGAGAATGAGAGACCGCTTGCTGGATGGTCGTCCCTTCCCACACACCCGTGCTGTGCTCCTCTCATGTGCAGAGAAATGGGCTGCTTGTGAGGCTGAGATTCAGGAGGGATTCATAGTTAGCACCCCTCACCTTTGACTGTCACCAGGGTGTCAAGTTAGCCTCAGGAGCTATAGCAGCTTGCTGCCCTGGCCAGCTATGTTTCATGGAGTTGCTTCTTGTGTTAGTCACCTTTCCCAAGGTTGGGACAAAATACCTGACACTCACAACTTAATGAAGAAGAGGTTTAATTTGGCTCACAGTTTCAGTCCACGGTCAGCTAACTTCAAGGGAAGAGTATCATGGTGAAAGGGTGTGGTGGAGCAAAGTGGGTCACTTCATAATGGCCAGGAAGCAGAGCATAGGAGAACACCAGCGAGGACCAGATATCATCCCTAAGATCAGGCCCATGTGATAAACAGACACACCCAGAAGTGTGCTTTATTAATCCCCTAGATGGCTCTTGGGCCAATCAGATTGGCAGTCAAGGTTAATGATCATACTCTTTGCTCCTTGTTCCATTTTCATGATGAAATGTTGAGCAGAGCATGGTAGTGTATGACTAATCCCTGCACTCTGGGAGGCTGAAACAGGAGGATCACAAGTTAGACCAACCTGGGCAATTTAGTGACTTAGCAAGACCCTGCCTCAAAATGAAAATAATCAAAAGGGATGGGGTTGTAGTTCACTGCAAAGGCCCTGGGTTCAATCCCCAGTACCATAAAAAAAAAAGAAAAACAGTATACTTGGGTATCAGGCCCTTCTTCCCTTCACACTCTGCCTGTTCGCTTTGGTATCTTTTTCCTTTGGTACTTGTTCTCAGGGAACTCTGGAAGGAGAACAGAGCCTGCACTGAAACCCTCCAGGAGCAAGTTTAGGAAATTCAAAGGCATTTCTAGCCAAGGTATCTCCTCATTGTTCTATTCCAGGTCAGCCAGGAGAGTGTGGCACAGCCTCAGTGATAAGCACCTTTGTCACCAGACTACTCAGCAATTTGATTTTTTACCCACCCTGTTCTCAGTCTGTTTTGGTTTGAGTTGTCAAAGAAAATCTTCCTTAGCCTGCCAAACATATTAATTTTATTTTACAGTTCATAATACCAAGCCGGGGATTTAGCTCAACAGGCACAGCACCTGCCTGGCAAGTGTGAGGTCCTGAGTTCGATCCCTGGTACCAAAAAAAAAAGTTCATGATACCATTTGATTTGCATTTCATTGGGTAAGGATTTAATGTAATAATTTTCCGGGATGAAGTAAAAAATGGGCCAAGTTGAATAGTATTGATACCGATATTATTTTATATTTATTTGTTTATGTTAATATTCAGTCATTTTTGTTTGTAAAGTCAATTTGGAAAATGTAGCTTTCAAATTAATTGTGTTGGAGGCCTTGAAGGATGCACTTAATGCTCTGTCTGGGTCCCAGGATGACCCTGCTGTGCTGCAGAGCACAGCTCTTCTCTCCAAAACTACAAAAACCAGGAAACCTTCCCTTGGTGCCCTGCTAGGCCCAGTTACTTCCTGTCATTGCCATCTCACAGCAAGGGCAAGGCAAAGCCTTTTGGTAGGCCAACAGTTCCTATGTTTCTGAGTCAGTGATCAGAGCAGCAACGCAAACCTACCAGCTCCCTCCTTCCAAAACCTGCATCACTCTGGATGTAGAGAAGTCAGGTGCTGGGCAGTGACAGCTGCTGCTTCCCACTGTGGATACTGTCCTTCCGGAGCATCCCTGTGGGAACATGCAGCCTGCAAAAACAAGATTTCAAACAAGTACAGCAATACCTTGGTTGCTGAACTCATTTCATTCCAAACTTGTGTTCAAATACTGAAAAGTTCAAGAACTGAACATATTTTTCCCACAAGAAATAATGGAAAACCAAATAATTGGTTCTGAGGCCCAAAAATTATGCTTGTAAGTTCATTTTCCCAGGACTTTAACAAATGTCACAATGATTTCTTTCTTTAACTCTATTATGGTTCTCACAGTTTTCCTCTTAGCTTTACTGTTGATATAACTAACTTTCTTTGGAGCCATGGTTATAATATTTTATGCAAATAAAGCACATTTTAAAAAGCACAATGATGAATGTTTTAGTGCACTGACACAGTGCACTGTATGTTGTCTGGGAGAGAATAGTGCTTAGACTGAAACATCACTCCTTTATGTGTGGAGTGAGGCACAGTGTCTCACTCAATCTCAGCCTGTATAGATTTTATCAAGTTGGATTGTCGGTTCAACTATGGAGTAAAGTTACAAACAGCCAGCCTGGCCTTGAACTCATGGCGATCCTCCTGCCCCAGCCTCCTGAATGCTGACTTTACAGGCGTGTGCTACCAGGCCAAGCTAAAATACATCTTTATGATGCAATTTTCTCCTGTGACTAATACCACATTTACAAACTTTCATTGCCTGTCACAACCTCGCCATCTTTCTCAGGACAGCTCATTTCACCATTCCCACCTAGCCTGGCCTCCTCTTTGCCAGTCTTGCTTTGTTACCTTTTCAGCAGGATGCTCTTCCTCATCTTTGTTATGATCAAGGAGCTTGAGTCTTGGTACCAGCCTACTAATGAACAGAGTGATTTTTCCCCTCAGTTACCAAGAGCTGCAAATACCTCAACAACTGGCTACTTAGTTTAAAAAATTTCAAAGACTATCGCTTCTTGGCCTTTTGGCTAAGATCAAGTGTAAAAAATTTCAAAGACTGTCATAGTGTTTCTAATACATCTGACCCACTTTTTTCTGGCTTTGGAAAATTGCTTCAAACATGTTGCCTGCATTAACTCTTCACTAAGTATCAACAGGCAAATCTAGGGAGTCAAAGTCTAATGTATCTGAAGAAGGACTGAAGTGCAGAGAGGATAGCTTTTACATACGTGTCTTACGAGACAGAAGCTGTTTGATTGTATTAATGGAGCTGCTGTACTTGTATTCCTGCCAGGTAATGATGACTCAGAGATAGACATCCAGGAAGATGATGAATCCGACAGTGAGTTGGAGGAGAGACAGTTCTCCAAGCCTCGGACAGCCATGGAGGTGCTCATGCAAGGTAGCACCGCTTCTTTCACTTGCCCTGCTCCAGTTGTCCTCCTCACTTGCCTGTTTCTCAGAACCCTGTGGCCAGGATTAAATCTGTCCAGGTGCACAGCAGATTGTCAGTGGCGCCTTGGAGCACTTCCTGCCCCTGGTTTATCCTGCTCTGTTGTTTATCACGATCAAGTTCTTTTTTATTTTTTAACTTTTGGTATTGGGGATCAAACTCAGGACCTTGCGCTTGTGAGGGAGGTGTGGTGCCACTGAGCTGACTCTCCAGCCCCATGCTTGGGTTCTTTAACTGCTAGTGGTCATTGTTGCCACTCATACTCTTCCCTGGGGTTCTGAGAATAGGCAGTTCATATTTGTGGCCTGGCATTTCTCAGAGACCACAGGAACACACTGCCTCTGCCACTGAGTTGTGTTTTCCCCATCCTAAATTATTCTTCCTGCAGTTACATGTCTTAGAGCCTGAGAATTAATGCATGGAGAAGGGATCACATGAGCACCTCAGCCTTTAAAGTGGCCTTCTAATTGCTATCTTCTTATTGCAAAAGATCCAAGCAACAAAATTTGTGTCACAAACGTGGATGTACCCCTGGGGTTGTCCTCATATCCCACTCTAGAGGCGTGAGGACTAGGAGCCAGCAGCCATGCCCCTGCAGATTGCCTTTCCATGTATGCACATCTCCACATGCAGAGGACTGTAATATTGATTATGCCCAAAACAGGCTGCAAAGAGTTAACCCCACAATTGGCTTGTTTATAGAAGTGAGTCTGGCCGAAGCCTACCTGCCGAGGTCAGAGTAACTTGTGCCCAAATTCTGTTCCCACAACTGAAACCTTCAGACTAGATGGACAGTGTTCTAATTACAATCATATATTTTGTCTATTCTGTTCCTAATTTGAGAATGCTTTGTCTTGTTCTTTATGAGCCTTGTTTACATTAATTTCCATAGAAACCACACATCACCTGTACCCCAGTTGATTGCCAATAAAAGTCAGTGCCTGGGACTGGCCAGTGCCTTTGTCAGTTGCACCGGCATTGGTCGTCCTGGCACCCCACTTGCTCTCTCTTAGTTCTGTCTCTTAGTGTATTTTTTTCTCAGGCCTGCGTGGTATACTGGAATTTTTATTTTTTGGGGGGGGCGGTTGTTTTGGAGGCAAGGTCTCACTATTAGTTCAGGCTGGCCCTGAACTCACTGTGTAGCCTAGGCTGGCCTTGAACTCACAGGAATCCTCCTGCCTCAGCTTCCCGAGTGCTGGGATTATAGGCATGCACTCACAAGATCCCTGTGAGTTCAGGGCCAGCCTGAATTACATAGTGAGACCCTGTGTCCATAAATAAATAAATAAATGTGTGTATGTATGTATGTATGTGTTTGTAAGTAGTGCATGGTCATCTCTCTGGGCCTATCTTGAGTGGGCTCCCCTGTGCTGTCTTTCACCTCCACCTGGGCTGGGATCACACATGGCCCTTTCTCAACCTGAGGGCTTCAGTCCAGCTCTGCCCTCTAGTATAGGACTGCTCCTGAGTTTTTGCAAAAGTCACATCTAAACCATATTGAATTAGTTTTAAAGGAGGAATAGTGGATCCCTTAGATGATAATGGTGTTTGAAAGATGAGCTAATTACTAATTATGATACGATGGTACCTCAATATGCCAATTTAATTTGTTTTACAATTTTGGGGAAGATGGCCAGATTTGTGTTTGTGTGGGGAACATGGCCGTGGTCATGTTTGTCACTCAATGTGGAGTTTGTGAACAGAAGCAAAATTTAGCTGAACACTTTTGTTTCTGAACTGAATTGTTTGCGAACAGAAGCATTCGTGAACTGAGGTATAACTGTACTTTTTTAAAAACTTTATTTTGAAGCTCAGAACTAGATTCAAGTATCAGTGACATCAGTTCAGAAAAGGAGGATATGTTTCTTTTTCAACCAATAGCATATTATTTCAACCACATTTACAGTAAAAGTGGAGTTCAGTGACTTTTCCCTAAGCACTCATAGGATGCAGGGTTTTTTGTTTGTTTTTTGTTTGTTTGTTTGGTACTGGGGATCAAACTCAGGACCTTTTGCTTGCAAGGCAAGCGGCAGAACCACTGAGCTAAATCCCTGGCCCAGGATGCAGTTTTTAAAATTCATGATTCATGGCTGGTGTGGGTGTGTATGTGCATGCGCACATGTGCATGTATTTTGCAATGTTAGTGATCAAACCCAGGGCCTTGAACATGCTAGGAAGCACTCTACCACCTAGTTATACCCTTAGCCTCATGTTGATATTTTATTGCCCTTTTTCTTTCTTTCAGTATAGAAGTACAGGAAATCCATTACTGTTTGTTGACAGTTCTGTTTAGCTGGACACTACTGAAGTGAATTTTTGAAATGTGATTCTTCTTTTACCCAGTTTTCTAAGGCGAAGCAAATTATAAATGCCATTCACTGTCTTATTTGCTGAAGTGTTTTTTGGGTTTTTTTGGTTTGTTTGTTTGTTTGTTTGTTTGGTACCGGGGATCAAACTGAAGACCTTGTGTTTGCCAGCCAGACATGCCACTTCTGAGCTACATCCCGGCCCTTATTTGCTGAAGTTTACATGAGTTCTTCATGCTCTGTTGTTCTCAGGAAGACCCAGCAAGCACATTGTGGGCACAATGCAAGGTGGAGACTCCGACGACAACGTGAGTCCTGGCGGGCCCTCCGCAGCTCTGTGCCTTCGGGTGTCAGGCTGTCCCAGTCAACTAGATGAGCTGTACCTGGCCCACCACAGCACTTGATCTGTGGCAGTTTGGCCTCCTAAGGGGCTTCACTCTTCTGTTTGCTTGTTGATAGCTTATTTCTCATTTCACATGAGTGTGCTTGCCCTATTCTCTTCTGCCTTCTCACTGTTCTTTCCGTTCTCGCTTTCCAAAGATGGAAGCAGCTCCACTTCTCTTAGGTAAATGCAGGACTCCCAGCTCCAGGAAGCAGGTTGGTTTTCTTTTTTGCTTCATCTGTTTGTTGATGTGTGTCAGCCCACACAGGTTCTTCAGAGCCTCTTTAGGCCTGATGCTTTCTCTCTGCTGGCCAAGAAGCCACTCTGAGTAGATCCCACAGAGAGAGGCCACACTTCCTCATGGTTCTGTGCTGAAGAGGAAGGGTGAGCACCATGGCCGGAGGCAAGAGTGGTTGTAGTTAGGAATCTCAGGCCCATTACTGAAACCAAGGGATGATGCTGAGGCCCAGGGGCCAAGACTGTCCCTGTCTTGAGTTCCATTCTCTCCAGACCAGGGTTCAGAGGGGCTGGATGTCAGGCCACCCACACCTTGAACTTTACTGACTAGGGAACTGAACCATAGGTGAAAACCTAGGGCAGGAGGAGATCTTTGAGGCAGCAAGCCATCTGAGAAGCCCACCCTTCTCTTTTGGTCTTCATCCTGTTGCAGACCCTGGCTCTACCCATACAGCCAATGTGACTGAACTGCCACAGATCTCAGACCAGCTCTGTCCAGATCCCAGACCAGCTCTGTCCAGATCCCCCTGTGCCTGGGTTGCAGCACCAGTGGCTGAACAGAGAGAGAGAGAGAAGCAGGGCCTTCCACTCTTGTACCGATATTGGCTAAGTTCCCCCAGGGTGAACGGTTACCAACAGTAACAGGAGTGAACTGTTGCTTGGGTGTGCTGGGCAGGATGCACAGAGTTGACCTGGCCTTGAACTCCTAGGAGATACTCTGTAGAAAACTGAAGAAAAAACCCTTGATAATAACTTTTTAATAGGCAGGGTATGGGTGGTGTGGTAGTTTCCATCCATTCATCTTCTCCCTGAATCTAAAGTGGGGAGAATCCAGCCTAAGAGCCAGCAGTGCCAGAAGGCAGCATCCAGCCTCTGTTGGATTTGCCTGTGCACTTCTTAGGATGCATCGGTTGTGGCATAGGTCTTCCTTTGCTGCTTGTTTATTTTAAGGGGCTTCATTCACACAGCTCCCTGCCACCCAGACACACCAGTTGGTCTTTCACATGTCACTTAGCCACCCAACCTTTATCTGTTGGGTGTAGGCTGTGTGCTGTGGGCTGTTATGGATGATGAAAAACCTAGCCCCTGCTTTCAGGACAAACACATCCTAACAGGAACAGAGCAGGTGTACCACAGTCACTGGTGTTAGAAAATAAACAAGCTTAGGAGAGGGCAATGGGGATGGGAGGGAGGGATGGCCCTGCATGGTCAGGAAAGGCCTCTAATGTGAGGTTGGAGCAGAGGCCTGTGGAAGGAGGCAGTGGCCGCACGTGGGTGGGGAGAGCACCTGGGCCTGGGGCGCGCAATCCCCCAAGGTAAGGGCAGCAGCATGTGTGACTAAGATGAAAGGCTCTGGGGTGAGAAGGGTGAGGCTGCAGAAACACATGGAGCTTTGCCATGTATGATGAGGACTCTGCAGTTTCTCCAAGTGGGACCAGAAGGTGCTGGAGGATTGTGAACCCAGGAGGCCAAGAGCTGACTCAGTGTGAGAGAAACTGTGCGTGCACAGGAGAGTGTGGTCATGCAGGTCAGCAGTGACATGGCCCAGCCTCGGGTGGAAGAGAGGCCAAGGAGTGATCTGATTCTGGCACACTTCTGGGGTGAGCACCAACAGGTTCTTCCAATTGACACTGGATATTAAACATGCTGGGTGTTGAAGATACTGGGTGTTGAGAGGAATGAAGTATGCCCAGGCTGTGGTCTCAATCACTGAAGCTGAGAATTTCACTTCCTGAGATGGGCCAGTTTGAGATGAGGGCTACAAAGGCAGATCAGGAGTTTGGTTGGTTTTTTTGGTACTGGGGATCGAACTCGGGACCTTGTGCTTGCGAGGCAGGCGGGAGAACCACTGAGCTAAATCCCCAGCCCTAGGAGTTTGTTTTTTCAGCTGGGTGTGGTGGTGCTTCCCTGAAATCCTAGCATTCTAGGAGCCTGAGGCAGGAGGATGGCAAGTCTGAGCCCAGCCTGGGCAACTTCATGACTTAGCAAGACCCTATCTCAAAATACAAAATAAAAAAGGTCTGGGAGGGCTGGGGATTTAGCTCAGTGGTTTTGCCACCTGCTGTGCAAGTGCCAGGACCCAAGTTCACTCCCTGGTACCAAAAAAAAAGGTCTAGGGATGTAACTCAGTGCAAAGACCCTGGGTTCATTCCCCAGTTCTATTAAAAAAGGTTTTGGAGGGCCGGGGATTTAGCTCGGTGGTTTTGCCACCTGCTGCACAAGCGCAAGGACCCGAGTTTGATCCCCGGTACCAAAAAATAAATTAAAAAGGTTTTGGACATTCTAAGACAAGTTGCCTGTTAGAATCCACATGGGAAGTGTTGAGTAGCCAGTTGAAATTCAAGTGTGGAATTCAAGGGACAGGTCTGGGCTGGAGGTAGAATTTAGGAGCCATCCATATTCAGATGGTGTTGAAGACAGGAGGGCAGATGTGATGGCCTAGGGAGTGCGAAGGAAGGAAAGACAAGAGGCTGCAGTCCTAAGCAGCCAAGGGAGACCAGGCAGGTGGCACGGAGAGCTGGGATAGAGTGTACCCCAGAGGATGGTGAGGTGGGGTTCAGGGGGGACGGGCCAGTGCTGCATGGAGTAAGGTGAAGACTGTGGATTCTGTTTAGTGGAACCCATTGAGTGTTTCAGTCTTGGTAAGAGCCCTCTGGGGGGTTGTGGACTGAGGTCCTGATTAGCATGTGCTTAAGGGGACACAGAGGGAAACAAGTACGGACAGTGAGCTCAGCAACTTGTCCAGGGAGTCCTGCTGTGAGGGGAGCAGAGTGGAAAGGATGGTAGCATAAGATTTCTGGGGTTTTTTGGTTATTATTGTTGTTGCTTTTTAAGAAGCTGTGCCTGGTGACAGTTGTCTAGACTGGGTGAACAAACTTCCTGGTGCACATGGAGCACAGGCCTTGCAGTTTCAAAGCCAGGCTGAGTCAGTCTCTCTGGCTTCTAGTGCTGAAGAGCAGGTGTGCCTTTCACTGGGCTTCTTGCATCCATTGCTTGTTTGCTTTCTGTCCCCATCTGAAAGGAGCCGAAATAGGCCACCCTTTCCTTTGTGCTTGCTGTCCATTGGGTCTCAGGGCCCCCAGAAGCCAAGCAGCATCTAGGACCCTCTGTGCACATCCAGGGTACATGTAGACACCCATGTTTAGCCAGCCCCTGAAATGCTGTGCTCTCATGCACATTGGTGATTATGGATGTGTTAGTCAGTAAGTCACATGGATGTGTTCCACCCAGCAGCATATACTCTGTTCCCACAGCCTGAGCGCTTTTCTGCCTAGCTTAGCCCTACGGGGGTGGGGGTGGGGTGGCTAGTTGTTCTCTAAACCTCTGAGCTACAGTGAAAAGCAAGGCAGAGTCTCTTATGACAAGATGCTGTAGCAGGATGGAAACCTCAGCCGCACTTACTGTCTTTTTCCTGTAGGAAAACTCAGAGGACAGTGAAATTGACCTGGAAGATGATGAAGAAGGTGATGATGATTTGGAAGATGAGAGCATTGCTCTCTCACCGGCTAAGCCCAATCGAAGGGTCCAGAAACCTGAACCCCTGGATGAAAGTGACAATGACTTCTGACCTCTTACCAAGGGACCCAGACAGATTAAAAACCTCAGATTTGTAGGTAAACAGGAAATTAGAAGACTTAGAAGGTAGACATGTACTTTGTTCACTAAGCCAGCTGGATTGATTATTTCTGAAGCAGTGCTTCTTCCTGTTCTTTTCTCCTATGTTATACCATATTCCATGAACCTTAAATAAGTATCAAAGCAAGCCCCAAAGTTGATTTTCTTTTCCCTTCTTTGTTCCTTAAAACTTTGGAAATGCATTTTTAATAATTCAGATCCTGCTGGGGGTTTAGCTCAGTGGCACCGCTCCTGCCTCATAAGCACAAGGTCCTGAGTTCCATCCTTGGTATCATTAAAAAAAAAAAAATTCAGATCCACAGGACAAAAACTCAAGAAATACAGGCTGTTACTATGTAAGTCTTTGCTGCTGCTATTACACATTTCCTCTACAAGTCAAGCAGACCTGGGAGCTGGAACATGGCACAAGGCTCATTTTAGGAATCATAGGGAAACATTTGGCTGTTAATCAGTTGCCCAATTCAGAACATTTATTATACGTTGACTTTTAATTCTAGTCTTTATTCCATTTTATAGTCCTGTTTCCTTCTGCATGCTCACAATGCCAAGCATTAGATGTATTTTGATAATTAAAATGTTCTGAAAGATTTGCTAAGTTAGATGAAAATCAGCTTTCCTTGGAAATCAGAGAACAGAGAGAGGCTGTGGGTCATGAACATTCCATTTTCTCTTAGAAGGCTGATGTTCCTCTGGGGGTCAGAGTCACCTTGGAATAAAGCCACCTGCGTGTTTTCCCTGCTGCCCTTGGCTTCTCCTTGAGAGATTCCAAATTCCTGACCCAGTGACAGCCAGAATGTCCTTCTCAAGTCCTTTGTCCACACATAGGAGTGAATGCAGGTTTCCTTCATTTCTTTGGCCTCTTAGAAGAAGAGGCTAGCAAGAGGGAAATACCAGTGTAGATTTATGTTTCTGATCTTGAAAAGAAGTCAGCACCAAATTACGTAGAGCTGCACAAGAATTTCCCTGTTGTGATGTGAAAAGTGACAGATCAACTTGGCTTTACAATGAAAAATATGAAATCGTTTTCCATTTATTTTACAATTATTAGGTCAGAAGATTTCTTTTAATAAAATGTATTTAATACCATATTTTTATATTTTAATTGAAAATTGTGAAAATTTATTATAAAAATAACAAATATTATTCAAGAAAAACAGGCTAATATGATGCATGTAAATTTTAGGAGGCTGATAATTACTTCTATCATCTTTGCCTTTTCTTCTTTTTCCTAAATGTCATATCCAGGATTACCTTTTTTTTTTTTTTTGGACACACCATACAGTTAGTTCACAGGTAACTTGAACTGTGCTATATTGTATAGCAGGCTGGAGGAGAGATCAGTGTACTGCACCATGCTAACTGCCTCAGGCCCTGTAGCTTCTAGAGATGGAAGAGTCACTGCATCTTCTTGGTTGTCACAGGTTTGGTTTACCTATGACTTGAGTTACATTTTGGAAAAACGTGTGTTGGTTACTTTTCTCATTGCTGGGACAAAATGCCCAACACCCAAGGTAAAAGGAGGAAAGGTTTATTTTAGCTCATAGTTTTTAGAGGTTTCAGTCCATAGTCAGTTGGCTCCAAGGCAGGGTAGCATGTCAGGGGGCATCATAGAAGAGAAACAGTTTATGGCAGGGCAGGCAGAAGACAGTGAAGCACCAACTAGCAGCAAGCCTGCCTTCTTTCTGTTCCTTTATAGTCCATCTAGGCTACAAGCCTATTGATTGGTGCCATCCATACCCAGGGCGGGGCTTCCATTATCCATACCCTTAATCCCAGTATCACACCCTTAATCCACATTAACACACCCTAATCCAGCCACCTTTGAAACTCCCCACCTATGACCACATGAGTCTTTGGGGGCACCTGTATACAAGCCATAGCAACATACAACTGTTTTTGTTTTGCTTGCTTGCTTGCATTTTCTTTCTTTCTTTCTTTCCTTCTTTCTTTCTTTCTTTCTTTCTTTCTTTCTTTCACTTTGCTTTTTTGAGACAGGGTCTCACTATGTAATTTAGGCTGACCTTGTCTTGAACTCATGGTGATCCTCTTCCATCACCTTCCAAGTGCTGGGATTACAGGCTTGCACCGCCCACACCAGGCAGTTCTGTTCTCTTTTACTGGGCTTTAATGTGGAAATCTAATCTGAATCATAAATAATATATGCACAGATATAAGCAGCAGCTGCAAAAGGCACTTCAACCACTTCTAGCTTATCTTTCATCTGTTGGCTCATGGGCTTTATGCGAAGTCTCACCGTGGCATAGCACTGCTTTGCTTGAGCAGTTTCTCTTGACAAGGGTCTTCACTACTTTATCATTGTTATTATTGTGTCTCAGTCACAACAGATTCAGGACTCCCATACGTGCAAATGTCTTGTAGCCTGGTGCCAAGAGCAGACCTCAGGCCCTAAAGATCATGTGATTAGGACAATGGAAAAACTAGCATTTAGTTTATTGCTGGCATTTTAAAAAATTTGCTATATAATTAAAGGACCTCTTAAATGTCTTAAAATATGCATATTGACAGAAAACATAAATTTTTAAATACTAAATATTTTTTATTGGTGATGGCCATCAAGAACAAAGCCCAAAGACTTCCAGTGGAAAAAGTGAACTGTTTCCCTTTTAGGTGGATCAAAAGGAACCCTAATATCTCTTTCATTAGCATATTAAAGTAGTAGCAGCGTTGAATGTCTGAAAGGAAAAGTGCACCCATTTATGTTAGCAGCACTCTAGGTGAACATCAGAGCTGTTACATGGACCCAGGGGACTCTCTGGTGCTAGGATCCAAGACTTGTTGAACTGGAAGGGAGCTAAAAGTTCTACCTCTCCGAGAGCAGAAGTCCTTTCTATGAGAATATGAATTGAATTCTCTTTTCTGTTATGCTCTGATGGAGTCTGTGTGTACTTTGATGTGCCCATGACGGCTGACTGAGCCCCTAACTGTTTCAAATAGCTTCAGGGTGTGTGTGGTCATTGTTTGAGGAGAGAAGGAGGGAGTCCTGGCTACAAAATATAATTGTGACGGTCCTGATCATGAGTCATTGGGGTCATTTTGTGGTTGAGAAATGACACATTTATAGCACAAGGAATATTTGTTTCCGAAGATGTGAAGGCATAATACAGAGAAGAAAGCAGTTATAAAGTAGCTATTTCAGGAACTCTGAGTCTGTCTGGGGTTGGCCATGGGATCATATCCATTGCTGTGGATATGCTGCTTGGTCCCTGTTTCTTCTATTTGCCAGACATTTATTGAGCACTTACGATTGTGCTAACTACTGGAGAATTCAAAGATAAGGTAGTCTTAGCATCTGCCGACAACCTAGAAAGAAATTATAATACAGTGTGATACATGTGTGTCAAGAGTATTGTAAAGTGTCATGGAACTCAGAGTAAGGAGCAGCTGTCCTTGCCTGGAAGACTTGACAGAGATGTCTGAAAGCCACATTTGAGCTGGAGTGTAAAGGTTTAGTAAGGTCCATCGGACAGAGAAGATGAGATGTGGCATCACTGGGCCTGAATGTAGAAGCATAGAGCTCTCAGAGGCCACCACCTATTTAGAAAATGACAGCTAGTACAGTAAGGCTGAAGTGTTGAGTATATGGTGATAGGATGACAAAAGAAACATCTTTGTTGTGCTGAGGGATTGGTTGGGTTTTGTCTTATAGGCAGATAGCAACCTGCAGAGACCAGAAGGTCTTTTCAGAAAAATCAGACAAAAAACAGGAAGGAAGATAAACAACATTAGGAGGCTTCTTGGTATTACATGAAGAGCTCGTGGTATTGGGCCTGGAGAACTAGATTCCTCTGTCAGAAGAGATGTTGAAGAGAAGTTGAAGGTAAAAGGGAGTTCTAGTTGGGTGGGAGAGATACAGGAAGAAGAGCAGGGAGGGGAAGGTAGCAAGTGGGAGGGTTGGGACATGTTGAGGTGTCACATATGGGTGGCAGTAGCCAGTAATCACAGGAATATACAAACGGGAGACCTCCTGCTGAACCTGGCAGACACTATACTTGAGTTTATCCCCTCCTGAAATTCCACTAATATTTTATGAGAGAAGAAACATTTCAAAGGAGGTGAACCTACAAGAGAACCTACAATGAGTGAAAGTAGAGTAGATAAGGTGGCAATAGTTCGTTTTGGCATATGGAAGACAGATGAAGGTGTTAGCACTGAGGAAGCTGAAACCACAGGTGACCTCAAACATTAAGAAAGGAGTCTGAGATGCAAAATATGCCAGATGCAATTGACAGAAGATGACATGCTGCAGAAGAAAATACTGTTAACCCCAAAGACAGTAATAAAAACTATTCAAAATGGAAAACGGAAAAAAAGACATAATACAGGACCCACTGTTGCAGTTATCAGTTCATTCCTCAACCCCACATTGACCTTTTCAGCCAGCTCTGTGGTAATGGAGGTAGACCTTATAAAAATTTCTCCTTTGGCAGCTGGCAGGCTGTGAACCCCGTCAGTGGGTGCTGCAGAGGCCTGTACAGAGGAGGGCCCCTTCCTGCTAGTTCTAGTGGGGCTTGCTCTCCAAGCCTTAGGAAACACCCTTTTCCCCCATGACTTTGGCCCCCAAGCTTCTCCAGTGCTAGGTTTCTGCAGGATGTGGCTTTCTCCACTGTTTGCTACTGCACCTCTGTTCCACTGAACTTTCAACTCACGTGGAAATGTCACAAACCAGAGGGCAGAGGAGCAACATGGAACAGAAAAAACTGTCAACCTAGAATTTTCTACCCACCAGAAATATCTTTCAAAAACAGTATTAAATACCATAAACCTGTGTTCACACATCTTCCATTTCCAAGTAATGTTCTTTACATTGAATTTTCTTCCTTCCATTATAGAATCCAATTGAAGATCTTGCATTAAGTTGTTCAAGTCTCTTTAAAGCATCCTCCAGTCCTTTGTGTTTATCATAACATTGCCATTTTTGAAGAGGTCGAGGAAGTTTTACAGAATGTCCCTCTGGATTTTGTGCTATCATTAGGTTCAGGTAAACATTTTTGGCAAAGAATAACATATCAGTGATGTGTGATGGGCAGTGCGTCAGGGCACATGATGTTGTTTTGTCCTGTGACTGTGATGTTAAGTTTAATCACTTTTGTTAAGGTGGGATTTGCCAGATTTTGAGTTGCTAATGTCCCTCTTTCCCTTTTTAAACAGGGGCATGGCCTTTTGGAGTCAGCATCCATGATACTCATTTTTAAACAAACATTTTGAATAGCAGTGACACCTCAGATTTATGTGATAATCACTTTATGGCCTTCAAAAGCATTTTTCTGGGTGGTTTAGTTGATGAGAACTGTGATGTTCATTGGATTTTTTTCCCTTTCAGCCCAGACAGCTAAGAAAATTTGCCACACAAGAATCCAATTTGCTCCCCCCAACCCCCGCCCTTTAATTCTTAAAATAGGTTCTAAGTCACCCAGGCTGAGCTTGAACTTGCGACCTCCTGCCTCAAGCTTCCAGAGTACTGAGATTACAAACTTGTACCACCATGCCTGGTTTTGCTCATCTCTGGAAGGCTAACACATGATAACATTAGGCATCAACATTTGTATAAATATATATATATATATATATATATTTTTTTTTTTTTTTTTACCAGGGATCACACTCAGGACCTTGCTCTTTCAAGGCAGGCGCCGGCACCACTGAGCTAAATCCCCAGCCCTAGGCATCAACATTTGATGTGCTCTTGATAACCAGTGTGCCAGGATCCAGATCACACAGGCCGACAGCATGCATGTTTTAGAGAGCTTGTAATGAATGAAAAGTGGCAGAGCCCTTGGAGACTTGCCTGTGTCTCCGGAATATTAGAATTAAGCCCTTCATTTATCTTCACAAATTTCCCGTAGTATTTCTGTAAGTCTCTAAGGATCAGACCTTAAAACTTTCTTCTTGAGAAAAGGGAGAATGGCCTCCACTCTCACCCCTGCCAAGCTGAAGCTCTTAATGGGCTTGAAAATGGCAGCTTATTTCAGAGCAAGGGATGACGATAACCAAGGCAGTGGAAACGGGCAGCGATACAGGTTTGGTGTTGGTGTTGGGGTTGTTTTAATTGGGACATTAGTGCACGGTGTAAGTCCACAAGCTTCCTGCACTGTTGACCTTTTGTTCTGAGGGCCTTTGTCCTGAGTCTTGGCAGCAGCTACTTCCCTTCTCTGTGTAACAGGAGAATGTCCATGCGCCCCTGTTGGGACTGACCCTGGGCAGAAGCAGTGCCCAAAATCTCTTTTGACAATGTCTTTCCTTTCTCTCTGCACCTGCTGTCTTACTGGCTCGGCAGCATTCCCAGGTCTCAGGAGGCACCTGGAGAGTGCACTTTCTGTTCAAAAGCTTCCACCTGAGTCTCTGCCTGTCCTGCCCTGTACACTGGGAACTTTTCTCACATTTCCACAGTGCACATGGGAGCATTTGTCTTGATAGCCTCTGAGATCATTCTAGCCCCGGATTCCCCAATGTGATTTCCCTGGAGACTAGAAGAGAAGGGTTAGGGTTAGGGCAGGTTCTCTTAGAGTAATCATCACTGTAATAAATGCAGGGCTCTATAGAACCTCTGTGCTTTCAGGGTCCCAGCCCTGGACTAGGCTCCCATGGGCTTCCTCTTACACTGAGTTCTCCTGTGGAGCTGCTGGGGGCATGGGTGTCAGCTGGCTCCCAGGACTGGGCTAAAGACAACCTGGCCTCTGGGGGAGGGCAGGAGTGACCAAAAAGTGTGGATGCTGCTGAGCTACTCACTTGATGTGCTGTAGCCCATGATTCCCAGACAGAGCCATGGCGACACCTATCACTCCATCCATTCCCAAGGAGTTCTCTTGAAGACTAGGCAGAGTAGAGTTGGGAATACCATGGTGAGCCATCAGGACAGAAGAAACACCCAAGGAGAGAACATTGCAGTATCTTATGGGGGCAGCAGAGGGAACAAGCAGTTCTAGGGTTGATTTGATCACAGGTGCCATAGCAACTGCAAAGTGGTGGCATCTGACCCCTGAGATGGGTATCTACAAGTAGCTAAAGTGCCCTAACTATGAGTGCAGGGTTTTTTTGTTTGTTTGTTTGGTTGGTTGGTTGGTTGGTTTTTTTCCCCCTGATACTGGGGATTGATCCTAGGGCCTTCACATTGAAAATTTGTTTTTGAATCAGAGTCTTGCTAAGTCACTAAATTACCCAGGCAGGGCTCGAATTTGCAGTTCTTCTGTCTCAGCTCCCAGAGGGCTGGGATTATAGGAATGCACCACCACACCCAAATTGAACCAGTTTTCAAATGACTTGACTGATACAGTTTGAACAAACCCAACTGCAATGGATATGGACTGTAATAATCAGAATAGTTCAACTCATTCACATCAAGAAGGAACAGAGAGAGGAGATCATCAACATTTTATCCCACAGGTAGGTCTGACCAGCCACTTACCTGAGCCTCCGGAGACTGGAGTTCACCTTCAGAGCATTCGCCAAGGCCTTAGCTCCGGACACCCCAATGGCATTTCCTCGTAAGCTGCCATGGGAAACAGGAAACTTTAGGTGCAGGGATGGGCTCAGAAGTGATAATGATGCCCTTCTAGCTGGGTCAGCAGTCACACAGGAGGTAAGGGTCACTCCTTCCTCACTCCCAGGCCACAGAACAGAGCTGAGCTCATGGAACAGGACACACAGGCAGCAGTGAGACCGGCCTGGCCTGGGTCAACCTTTGCCACTCCAGAGAAAGAAGGGCTGGGCTGGGGGAGGCAGCACTCTGCCCAGCAGATGACCAATGCACTCAGCATCCCAGGACTCACAAGCGCAGGGGTATGGACATGCCGAAGGGCCTCTCAGAACTTGGCTCCCACCCCAGGAGTTCACCTTCTCACAGATGATCTACAGAAATTGTCTGTCCCTAGGCAAGGCTCCCAGACATGTGCAGTCAAAGCAGGGCCACCCCAGAGACCAGGCAGGCAATCGTGGCTTGGAGAAAAGACGTGAAGTGGTAATGGAGAAGCTGGGGTGCACCTGACCTGAAGTAAGGATCATGAAACTGACCTGTGAGTTTCTATGTAAACGAATATTTTTCCCCACATCTATTTCTTTTGAACTGATAGCTTGGGTTTTTTGGGCAAAAGACTGTCACTGGAGACTGCAATACTCACTCGAGAATCTCCAGGGTTCTGTTCACAGCCAGGGCCTCCCCCAGCGCCAGAGCCCCCGGGGCACCAATGGAGGCTACCTGGAGACTGCAAGAGGAGTTGGGATCAGTGCAGGCAGGTGGGACCTGCTGCCCTCATGTCTGCCCCAGGCCCAGCCTACCTCCCTTCTCTCCACCCCTTGACTAGGGCTTGAAGGGGAAAAATGGCACTGAAGACTATTGGCACCTCCCACCAATGCCTAAGACAGAGACCTGGCCACTGAGGATGGGAAGGAGAGGTAGTCTCTTGAAGGGCTGGTGGGAATGCTCACTGTACCCCTAGTTCGTCCTAGAGAACTCTGACTCCCCAATTGCTGATATTAGGAAAAACAGACACACCTTCCTTGACTGGTAAAAATGGCCTGTGGCATGAGAGGATGGGGAAGGAGCTGGCCTTCTCAACCCCGCACCCCTCAGGGACTTACTAGAGAGCGGTGAGGGCTGTGTTCACCTTCAGCGCAGTGGCCAGTGCAGAGGCTCCTTCATCCCTGATGGCATTCTCCTGCAAGCTGAACAAGAACATGACCCCTTCGGGCACAGGGGGCATAGGCCAGTACCCCAGCAAGGACGCTGGGCTCGGGCTTTCAGATTTAATTCAAACCACACATACCAGTGCCCCAGAGATAATGCCTTGCTGTGTAGCCATTTAGCCGTGGCCTCATACTCAACATGCCAAGGGGTCTGGAGGCTACATGAGTCTGGGTGAACCATCAGAGGCAAGCAAGAAAAGGGACATGTGGGAGTACTGTCAACAAGCGTCTGGGACAAAGAAGGGTATACGCCAACCAGAAAATTAACTTGAAGCCCTCAACCTCTGGGCCATTCTTGCTGGTTAAGGCTTGTTAAAATATCTTTTCATGCCTTCCAAATTGGAAGGAAATTGCAGGCCCTGAACCTGTAAATGGAGTTTAGGTCAAGTGGACACTGGCATGTTCAAGGGCGCAGTTGCATCCATCACTTGACATTTGAGTGCACCCCGTGTGCTAGCCGTGTGCAAGGCAGCAGTCATAGTTCTGCCCGGTGGGAACTCAGATGAGAAGACACAGTCATGTAAGCAGCTGTGGTTCCCAGAAAAAGCAGCTCTAAGCCATAAGCAGGGAGTGAGACGTGAGGAGGGGCTGGCACATCTCAGGGACCCAGAGAGACTGAGCTGAGATCCTGGGCTGGTGAAAAGACAAGGCCTGGCAGTGAGAAGGAAGCAGATCTTTAGGGGTCTTCTAAGGCACACTACAGGTTGTGCTTTACTCTGCATGTGCTGGGCAGCCATTTGAGGACCCCACCTAGGAAAGGGGCAGACAATTGATTTGGAAAGATCTCTGGCCCGCAGTATGAGGAGGTGGCCTGATGTAGTGGCTGCCCACTAAGGCAGGTGAGTGGTGCTGGAGCTGGATGGTGGCTGGCAGGACATGGAGATGAACTGGGAGCAGAGGTAGTGCTTCTGACCTGCACTGCTGGCACTCAGGAGGGATGGGAAACCAAAAAGCAGGCTTGTGGAGGAGAGGACACAGCAACCTGCAGTACCTGGGGGACACTGGGAGGATGTGTGGAAGAGTTCAGGAGAGGCAGCTGAGATATGAACACTCGGGACTGAAGTCACTGGAGCCCTGGAAGAGGAGGAAAGCTCCCAGAAAAAGGATGCCATTAAAGGAAAGAGGGCCTAGGCCACAACCCTGGGGAGCCCAAGAATCTAAGAGTGGATGGGGAGAAAAGAATGAAGAGGACCAGCCAGACGGGATATCCTGGAAGCTACAGGAGAGGATGAGGCTCAAAAAGTTAAGCATCGAGTTACCAGCTGACCCGGCAGTCTTGCTCCCCAGTCTATACCTCAGAGAAATGAAGCATATGTCCACACAGAGACCTTTGCACAAATGTTAACAGTACTATTCATAATAGCCAAAAACAGTGGAACCCCAACCCAAATGTCCATCCACTGACAAATGGATAAATAAAATGTGTGTATCCACACAATGAAATAGTTTTCAGCCATAAAAAGGAAAAAAGTATTGTACGACATGGATGACATGTACAACATGTATGACATGGATGAGCCTGAAAAATATACTAAATGAAAGTTGTGCTGGGAGTGTAGCTTGGGAGTAGAGCATGTACTTAGCATGCATCAAGGCCAAGGGTTCAGTCCCCTGCACATACACACATAAAATGTAGGCCACAAAAGATATGTTAGATGATTTGATTTATATGAAATCTCTAGAATAGGCAAATCCATGGGGACAAAATAGATAAATGGTTTCCAGGGATACAGGGAGAAGAAAATGATCACTATCACTGATCTTCTTTTTGGAATGGTAGCAATGTTCTAAAATTGATTGTGGTGATGGTTGTATAACTCTGTACATTGTACTGAAAAACAGCAAATTATACATTTTAAATAGGTAGATTTTATGGTATGTGGATTTTATTTCAGTAAGGCTGAATACATGAATATATATTCTGCTCTTATGGCAGAGATGGCTATCTGCCACCGAGGTGCCTGGGATGCTGAGTTTTAAGCTTTCCTTGCCCCTTCCCAGACACCCTGCGAGTGCACTTACTCTAAGCTGGTCAAGCTGCTGTTGAGCTGGAGTGCTTGTCCCAGGGCCCTCGCAGCATCCACCTGGATGAAGTTCCACTGCAAGCTGGGCAGACACAGACACATGACCGTGCAGCCCAGGGACAGAGTCAAGGACCTTCTAGAGTGGTCTGATGGCAGGGTGAGTCTCTGCAGGATGCGGTGGAAGGATTCCAGCAGCCACCCTCAGGCTCAGCCCCCAGACGGTCAGGGTGTGCTCCATTAGTGGTGGCCACAGGAACAAGCTCAAAGACTCCACAAAGTCTGGGTCATCCCAGGTCCTGTCATGGCACCCACCTCTCAACTTGATCTGTTCAAGGTTTAGCCTCAGGATCAGGACCCAGGATGGGGCACAGCTCCCTAAAGGTTGGCAGTCTGGGAAGGTCCCTGAGATCTCAGGGGTCCCACAAAGATAGGGTCTGGAAGGGGTGTGTGAAGGGAGGACCAGCAGACTCACTGTAGGGACTTGAGGGCGCAGTTTTCTCTCATTGCCACTGCGATGGCCTGGGCGCCCTGGTCATAGAGGAGGTTGGCTGTCAGGCTGAGATGAAGGGAGATGAAATAAGTGAGCAGAAGCCCACTGTGAAGCCCCCTGTCCTTGGTCACCAGGAAATCCCAACCATTCTCCCCCCTCCCGAGGACCAATGTCTTCACTGATGTTAGTTATCTGGTTCACATCTGTAGAGAACCTGTGTGCCTGACCCCTGCCCTGGAGTCTTATGGCAAATCTTGACGAAATCAGCTCAGGGGTTTGGTGACAGGTCACATGGCCAGGGGTTCATGGCACAATGACATGGCCCCACATCGACCCTTCTGAATTCCTTCCCATGAGTTTGCTGGTTAATCCTCAGGAGTAAGACAGGTACAGTGTCACACTATCCTCATCCATGTGTGATTTATACCACAATGGGGGGGGGAGGGCTTGTGTCAGAGTTATCACTAGACAGCAGGTCCTCTTGCTGTCCTCTCCCCACCTAGGCCCTTCTCCCACCTTGTGAAATGGTGATGGCACTGAGGGCCTGGCTCGTTATGTCCAGAGCCCATCTATCTTGGGCTCTGGGTAGGCAAGGAGGCCATGGACATAAATGACCCAGAGGAAACACCATCCCGACCCTCCCTGGCCCTCCACGTACTCCAGGTGCTTCAGGGTGGTGTTGCTGCTGAGAGCATGGGCCAGGGCCTGGGCTCCCTTGGGGCTGATGGAGTTTTCCCGCAGACTGAAGAGAGAGAGAGGACTCTGAGCATTCAGCTGGGCTGGTGAGGCTCCTGGCAGGAGCCAAGCCCAGGTATTCAGGCTTTTTGAAGCCCCAGAAGCCTCAGGTGGGCTCTGAGAAATCTGGGCTGAGGTGTGAAGGTGCCTGAGCTAGCAAGCCAAGGATCTGATGGCTGGCAGCCAGGTGTCCCCACTCAGGACTGTCAAGAGTTCAGGGATGTCCAGAAGGAAGAGGACAGAATGGCAAGACTTCGGAGGTGTGAAGGGCAGGCGAGCATACTTGAGTACCTGATGATGGGCTTACACATAGGAAGGAACAGTAGAACAGCCCCTGAGGGGCCACAGCTGTCTCCTGCCCTCCTGAGAGAGCAGGAAGAGGGATGGGATGCCATTTTCAGAACCAAGCCTGCCCGACCATAGATATCCCCACAGCAGATTTCCCAGCCCCAGACTTGCTGGTCAGAGGGATGCCCTGGATGGACTTACTTGAGGCTGAGGAGGGTCTGGTTGGCACAGAGGGCCCCCATCAGTGCTGCCAGTCCCGCATCACTGATGGAATTGCTCTGCAGGCTGCAGACAGAGGATGGGGCTCCCTTCATATGGGGTCCCAGGACCTGGAGGGAACTGCCTAGTCCAGCCTGGGACCACAGGCACTGGGTTCTTTAGGGGTTTGGGGGACCTAGAATCTGCTCTTCTCATCCTCCTTCCCTTCCCACCACCCCACCTTCTAGCCCCTGCCATGTTAGGGCAGGTGCATTAGCACAAGGCCCAAGGTTTGGACTCTGCCTTGACCTGAGTGGCTCCAAATGTCCTCATAGAAGGGGTTGTTGGCCCTGTGGCCCAGAGAAAGTGCTGCAGCAGAGTCACCCCAGAGTGGCAGCCCCCCACCTCACCAAGGCTGCTACAGCTGACTCCCTCTTCAGCCACCTGTGCTCACTTACCAAGGGCACAAAGAGCTTGTCATTCTGAAAACTCTAGAGCCGACCCCAACCCCTACGGTGCAGAGAAATGGGACTGGTGAGGTGGGAAAAGGGTGGATGGAGGGCAGAGACAGGACAGAGTATGCCCAGGTCTGGGGTTGGTAGGGTACTGGCTGGCAGTCCTCCCCTAGAAATAACACTCCACCATCTGCTGGATAGAGGCCCTAGGAGTAGTTGTCACCCATGGAGGGGGTCAGGCAGACTCACTCCAGGCTCAGCAGCCCCTGGTTCACCTTCAGTGCCTCAGCCAGGGCCTTTGCACCTCCATCACCAATACTGTTACTGGACAACCTGCAAGAGACAGATGCTGCTGAGTCAATCTCTTGGAGCAGTAGGGTGGATCCAGGCCTAGGGCTCAGGGCTCGGGGTCAGGAGAAGCTGTCTCTGTTGTCTCAAGAGGCCCAGTGCAGTTTGCTCTGCCTGAGACCTGTCGATCTGTAATTTCTGTAAGTAACCACTCTACCTGTAAGAGATCAAGGTAGGAAAGTCCCTCTTGATGACCTGCAATGGCAGGGGGTGAGGTCAACCCATGCTGAGATGTGTTTGTGCTATTTTATCTGAAGACAATCAAGAAATGCTGTTTCATTTTGCCAGCTGGGAAGGCAGTTAAGTGTGAGCCTGAGAAGGTTGGGGTTCACACAGTCCTGGAAATCTGGGTCTCCTTTCTTCCAGTCCAGTGCTTTGGAGCCTTAAACCAACTACCCTACTCCCAAACATCCATCCCTCTACTGATACACTCATCCATCCAACCATCTCTCCTTTCCATCCATTCACCCATTGATCTATTCATCCAGCCAGCCAGCCACTCACACACTCATCTATCCATCCAATCATCCATTTACCTATCCTACCATCCATTCATCTATCCCCATGCTTACTGGGTAAAAATATGTAAGATGTGCTGGGCATTGAGAATACCAATTTGGCCCTTCTGCATTTCTCACATGAGCTCCTTCAGACTCTTGTTCTGCTTCAGGGCTTCTGCCATCTTCTGAGCTCCCAGAGGCCCAATGCTATTCTTCTGCAGGCTGTGGGAGATGAGAGAGGTTCATCAGCACAGCTGGCTATAGCCATTCCCAAGCTAAGGACAGTGTTGGTTCAGGGGGAGAGATCAGAGACAAGTAGGGGGTACCCTGTCCGTTTATCTCAGCAGCGGGAAGGGGTCTTGCCAAGGATCCGGTGCTGTAGTCATACTGGAGAATAAGAGACAAAAGCAGCTGGAGCCTCCCTTATAAGGTACCAGAAAGCAGAAACCAGCAACCTTCCAAGTGAGAACTTCCATGCTCAAGTCCTGCTGGACCCTCATCAGACAGTCTACCCTCATCCAGTCCAGCCAGCAGCCTGCCTCCCACCTTGAGAATCCTCTCTGGAGGGAGTTCCTGGAGGACATACAGGGCAGTGTCTTGCCTGTGTGAGGCTAAATACCAACCTCAAGATAAATGTAATCTTCCAAAAAGGAAAGAGAATCACTCCTCTTTCTTAAAATATTTCCTTGAAGCAAATTGAGATTGCAAATCCTCTCTTTGTGTCTCGGAGATGTATCTAAGTCTCTTTAAGAGTTCATTTGGCCTGCTGCCAGTTTCACAGTCCTGGGGTGTCTTTATCAGGATCTTCCTAAGGGCCCTGGCACCCTCTCTTCAAGCAAGGTTGGGCCCTGCCTCCCTGTACTGTGGGAATTAGCCTGGGTGCCTGGCTCTGAGTTGTGAAGCACCTGCTTATCATCCAGACAGGAGGAGGTTTATTTTTTCCCCCTTGGGATAAAAGCAATTTGGAAACACAGATGGCCATCCCAATTATTTGGTGAGTTTAGAATAAGCTATGTGTGACAAATGGTCCCATTGGGTCCCTTAGAGGACAAGTTAATACAGTATTTGCCTTGAGAACTTGTATGGAATGGGGTGTGTCTGTTGGGAAATAGAAAAGGGGGATATTTTTGTGTCTTCGCAGCATCATTGGCGGGTTGCCTGAGATGCCCACTGCAGTCACTTTAATATTAATTCAATACTAAAACTGTTCTGTTCTTTCCTACAGTTGTGAGATTTTCTGGGTTGGCAAGAGGTTTATTTTCAGTAATTTCTCCACACCTATTCTCTGGAAAACAGTGAGCATCAAGTTTTCCAGGCCAGAAAGCCTCAGGATTGCTCTACCCATTCCTCCTTGCAGGAAAGGCAGAGGCCAAACAGGAGAGAGGGGGAGGGGAGGGGAGGGGAGGAGGGGCATCCACTTAGTGCAGCACACAGAGCATCTGGTTGGTGGCCAAGGCCTCAGCCACGGACCTGGCACCATCATCCTTAATGGTGTTGCTCTGGAGGCAGCAGTGGAGAAAAGGATGTGTCATCAGTGGAGGAGAGAATGCCCAGAGTGGCCCAATCTCCCACCTTGGGGGGCACCTCTATGGTGCAAGATGCCCTGGGGCACAGGAGGGGCAGCAGGTGACCTCAGGGAGAAGAGGCTCTGGCCATCATGTGCCCTCCTCACTGCCCACCACACAGGAAACACAGCTGGCCCTTCCCACCCTGGGTTTCTAAGCCCTTGCCTGCTAGCAGGGAAAAAGGTATGCAGGCTGTCTGGATCAGACAATAACAAGGTCAGCAATAGTCCTCATTATAGCTAAAAGTCACATTGCCCAGGTATTGACTAGGATGTGGAGAAACTGGAATTCTTAACACTGCTGGTAGGAATATAAGTGGTCCAGCCTCTATGGAAAATAGTCTGCAGTTCCTCAAAAGCAATTCTGTTCCTAGGCATACACCCAAAAGAACTGAAAATGGGTGTTTGAATACTTATACACAATAGCCAACAAGGGCTGGGGATGTAGCTCAGTGGCACCATGCCTGCCTGCCAAGTGCAAGTTCCTGAGTTTGATCCCTGGTACAAAAAAAAAAAAGCACAATAGCCAACACTTATTCATAACAGCCAAAAGGTGGAAACAACCTAAATGTCCATCATCAGATGAATAAAACCATGATCCATCCTTACAGTGGAATATGACTCAGCCATAAAAATGGAATGAAGCACTGATGGATGCTACAATACAGACAAACCTTGAAAACATTATGTTAAGTGAGGGAGATAGATACAAAAGGACTTATTCTATGATTCTATTTCTATTAAATGTCCAGAATAGGTAAATTCATGCAGACAGGAAGCAAATTAGTGGTTACCACAGGGAGGGAAGAATGGGAAGTAACTGCTAATGGGTACAGGGTGAGTGATGAAAACATTTCAGAACTAGATAGAGGTGATGGTTGCTCAATGTTAACTCAACGTTATGAGTGTACTAAATGCCAGTGAACTGTATACTTCAAAAATGCTAAATGTTATGTGAGTTTCACCCAGTAACAATAAATAAACAGAAAGCAAAAGAGAGCAGAGCAGTGGTACCCACTCAACTGAGGATGGCTATAACCACGGGCTCCTACAAGGGACACAGCAAGCCACACTGAACGTTGGCACCTTCTGGAAGAAGGGTTATTCCATGTCCTGGAAAGCACTTCAGGGTCGAGTCTGATATCACAGCTTGGCAAATTTACAGAGGCATTAAGAGGAGGGAAGAGCTCAACTTGAACCTTACCTAGGATACAAACTCCCTGGCATTGCATTCTGAATCACCACCATTCTGAATCACCTCCCACCCCATAGGTACAGGAGGCAGGGTTTTCTGGACCCTCTCCTGGGGGCGGTGGGGCAGGGAACAGGGAACGCGTACCTCAGAGAGGTCAGAGTTCGGTTAATCTTCAGAGCGTCAGCCAACCCCTTGGCTCCCTGTGGTCCGATGGTGTTACTGCGGAGGCTGGCGGAGCAAGAAAGAAAAGCAACTCCCAGGTTGGGAAAGAGGGACAGAAATTACACTGACTTTGGGGCAGGGGATTTAGCTTAGCGGTGCCGCCACCTGCCTTGCAAGGGCAGGGTCCTGACTTCCATCCCTGGTACCAAACAAAACAGACAAACAAACAAAAATACACTGACTTTGAATGTATGATCCATGAAGGAAGTATGTCAGTGTTTAGGATTTCATGTTTGATGGACCCAGGCAGAGATCTTTATGTAGGTGAACAAGGAAGGAGTTTCCCAAGGTAGCCCCGTGTAATGAGGAAAGGGGAGCAGGACCCCAGGGCCTGTAGGCTTGGGGCAAGTGTGGAAGTGAGGAGAATGCTGTGCTCAGGTTCGGGCTGAAAATGATGTGCTTCCTAGGATGAGACTCAACAGCCAGGGAGGCTGTGACTTTGCTTATTCAGCTGCCCTTAAAAGAGGACATGTCCACCCAGGAGCCCAGGCACTTGGAACCTGCTCTACATGGGGTAGGGTACCATGCCCAGAGCCTACCACGGGCTGAACCTGGGGTATCATTACACACGAGGGGTTCAAAATACTCCTCATCCCAGTGGGCTTTGGTGTCCTACTTACTCCAGAGTAGTCAGACTTCTGTTGACCAAGAGGGATCTGGCAAGAGCTTTGGCCCCTTTGTTACTGATCTGGTTTTCAGCCAGGCTGCCCAAGGGAAAGGAGAGGGTGGTTATGGCAGGTTTATGAATCTCACTGCTGCCTCATCGTTATGCCTGTAATTCAACTCATGGTTTCCTCAGTGTTATCAGAGCCTGCACGTGGCTGGAGACAAGGTGAGCCCGGAGCAGAAGGCCAGGCACAGAAAGGCCCTTGAGCCTGGGAAAGCACAGCCAGAGCAGCCAGCAGACCCTGTCCCTGGCAAAGGGTCCCAGGCAAAGTTAGGCCAGGACCCCTCAGACACAAATACACCGTGAAGAGATGGGGCAGTTACATACGTTGGCAGTGTGGACCCAGGCCAAAGTGTGATGGCAAATGGCTCTCAAAACAAATCAGAAAAGAAAGAAAACTGATGTGTAGCACTTGCTGATCACCATGGTGTAAATATTCCAACCCTGATTCCCTCTGTTTACCATTCTCGTGTTTCATCTGATATGTCACCAAAGTTAGGACCTACATTTAAACTTTTGAATATGCCACAAAAAAAGAAGAAGCTAAGAACATCCTAAAGTTGCAGGTCTTTGTAAAGAATAGCGTATTTTAAAATATGCTTTTGTGATATTAGAAAATTCTTCATAAAATAGTTTTTAAAAAATATTCCAACCCTGGCCAATTTTAACATCCCCAGATTGCCAAATTCCTGAAAATCTAACAATCAGCTCTCTTGAGATTATACAAAAGAGTTCCAGCACACTATTGATCCTAGCTTTCCTCCTGTGTAAAATGCAAATGGTAGCATTCCCGTTAGACTAAGTTGAAAGTTAAAAATGAAAAAGGGCCTCTCAGCTAGACATGGTGGCACACACCTGCAATCCCAGCACTTGGAAGGTGGAGGCAGGATAATCATTGTGAGTCTGAGGCCTGCTTGGGCTACATAATGAGTTCAAGGCTAGCTCAAACTGCATAATAGAGATCCTGTCTCAAAAAAAAAAAAAAAAAAGAAAGGCATCTCTTCACTTTGAAAGGGTGAGTCCAGCAATAGGCAAATGAATCCATCTGTGTATCCACTTCCAGAAATGATGCTGTTGAAGCTGCTTTATAGTTTTCTGGGCATTCAGCACAGGAATTACAGTTATTCAGTTAAAATCCCCCAGGCTGGAACTTTTCAAGCCACATTCCAAGGGCTCCTCAAGATCCTGGGGGAAACCTTCATGGGTAAGGCAGGTACAGTGACACATGTCTGTTATCTCAGTGATGTGGGAGGCTGAGGCAAGAAAATCACAAGTTCAAGGCCCGCCTGAGCTATTTAGTGAGGCTCTATCTTAAAATAAAAGGAGCTGGGGGGTGTAGCTTAGTGGTAGGAGTGCTTGCCAAGTATGTGGGAGGCTCTAGGTTCAATACTGTATGGCAAGAGCAAAAAACAAAACACACCACCAAAAAACCAAAAACCAAAAGAAACAAAAAGCCTCAGGAGCTGGGCATGGTCCCACAAGCCTGTAGTCCCAGCACTCAGGAGGCTGGGGCAAGAAGATCACCACGAGTTCGAAGCCAGCCTGGGCTACATAGGAAGATTCTGTCTCAAAACAAACACAAAAACAAAAACCTCAAGGGCCAACAGAAGGATGGAGAAACCAAGTGGGCAGGGATCTGAGGTCCTCACATCCCCTCTTTCAATCCTAACAGCTTTCCTTTTGTCTAGTTTTCTTACTGACGCTCTGCCTATGTATCACTTTCGTTTTATATTGGGGATTGAACCCAGGGCCTTTGAATTGAGCTACATCCCCAGCCCTTTTGAAGATATTCTTTATTTTGAGACGGAGTCTTACTAAGTCATTAAGTTGCCCAGGCTAGTCTTGAACTTGTGATCCTCCTGCCTCAGCCTCTCAGAGTACTGGGATTATAGGTGTATACTATCGCACCTGAGTTATATCACTTTTTAAAAAAGAATTTTATTGCTTAAGGTTTGAATATCATCCAGCCTACCTTCTATATAAATGTTCTCAAATTCTAGACAGTCTCCGTTACCTAGGACTTGGATGATGTTTCACAAGCAGCCAGGTGTTTTCTGCAGGATAACTTGCTCGGACATTGCAAACAGGAAGGTGGTTTGAGGACCAAATGTAGAGGGGGGGAAGAGCGTGTAAGGAGAAGTGTTTGGCTTTGTTCAGTATAATTTTGGGGCATTATCTAGCCTCCTTTAAACAAAACTAAAAGTTGATTATTTTGTCATACACTAAAAATATTAGAGGTTCCCAGGAAGGAAAAATATTAATGAGAACTTGTCATGATTATTTTTCTTTCAAACCTTTTGCTAACAAGGCAAAGATAATCCTGCTAAAGTAGCCAGCCCTTATACTTGTGCCTGGCATTGAATAACTCATTTAAGCCTCACAACAAAAAGGCTCCAATCTTGAGGAGTTTACCTCCCAGTGTGATGTATGGTGGGGGGGCTTGCGCCACGAAGAATTGTCTTGCCCTCCAAGACACTACAGGCTAAGGTCAGCTGGGCTGGTGGTCAGGGAGCCCCAGAGAAATACCCCAGCACCCAGGCCAGGTGGGCTTCCCTGGTGGCAGTGCTTCCTGTACACTGTCACACATGGTTTCCGGGGGAAGGAAGGGCCTCTGCAGGACTTCACAGGAGAGGATGTGGGAAGCTTGTGCCTGGTCCTTCCTGCCCTGCCTTGCCCCACACACCTGGCGCTTCTCCTGATTTTACTCTGTGCCCTTCAACGTAATGAGGCATTTCTCAGTTCTCACTACTAGTACAATGTTGAGCCTGAGGGTGGCCTAGGGACCTCCAAACTCTAAACTCCAAAGCTAGATTCCCTTTTAACCTCATTTTTATCTGTTTGGGCACAGAGGTGACTTTTTCAAGGTCACACAAAGCTGCAACTCTGACTGCTGTCCTCAATGATTTATATCCCTCCGACTCATTGAAAATTGTCCTTAATTAAGACAAAGATTATTTCAGAACCTGGAGGCTTCTGAGGATGAAAATGACTCCCTGGGACCTATTCTCCAGAATCACCTCCCTGCTTCTCAAAAAACACTGTATGTCATCACATTGGGTGAACTATGAACCAGGGTGTTACTCAGATCTGGAGATGGTATCCCAGCAGAGATTCATAAGCATCTAAGTGAGCATATAAACTTTTATCTAATTATAACAGTAAAGAAGCAATTATTAATTTGAAATGTAAAAAGCAACCAGGGATTTAGCTCAGTGGTGCCACCGCCTGCCTCAAAAGCGCAAGGTCCTGAATTCGATTCCCAGTACCTGCCCCCCCCCCCCATGTGAAAAGCAGGCCCGGGGACGTAGTTCAGTGGCACCACATCTGCCTTGCAAGCACAAGGTCCTGAGTTTGATCCCTAGTACCAAAAAAAAAAAAGTAATTTCACATTGAGTTTTATTGAAATTAAAACATATCAAATTAAAATTTCCAAATCCTGTGCCCTAATACTGTGTGAGAGAAAACGTAGAGTGGTATTTAGAGAAACGATGCCTGGGGACTTGCAGGGGGATGTGCTCCCATGTCTGTGAGTGTCTGGTCCTAATCAGTCATTTCTCTCTTCTTACACATGAGGTGCCTGAGCCTCGGCACTTTCGAGAATGGGCAGAAACAAGCAGGCTGCATCATCAGCCACTTGCTGCAGATCCCTCTCCTGGTGGGCTCTGAGCTGAAGCAGGCTGGATGATAGCAAAGAGGTCCCATTCCCCACAGGACAGGTAAGCACCCTGGGCAGGCTGTGGGATCACCATTACCTGATCTTCTGAATGCGACAGTCCTTCCCGCTCAGCATGCTGCCCAGCAGCTCCATCATGGGGTCCTGGAACTGATTGGTATCCAGCCTGGCCAGGGAGAGCAGTGACAGTGAGCAGCCTCACTGCCCCTGGGCAGGGCAGGACCCCTCTGCCTCCTGTCCACCCCACCACAGCCCCACTGCTGTGGCTCAGAGACCTGGGCTCAGCCTGTGATGCTCAGACTTCCCCATGGGAGTAAACTGTGAGGCCTGGAGTTCATACCCAGGGGCTTCTGTCCCAACTCGGTGTGCCATGCATCTCTACAGGATGCCATTTACTAGCTGGCCTACTTCTGAGGCCTACTTCTCAGGTCCCAAATGACCCTTCCTGGACTTTCAAACCCAAAGGTCCACAGCAGTGTACGGAGTATAGGCCGAGGATACGGTCAGAGGTGCAGGTTCTGTCATCTGAGATGGCTCAGAAGGTGTTATGGATCATGTCCACCCAAAAAAGATACATGGAAGTCCTAACCCCCAGTCCCTAAAGAACATAGCCTTTCTTGGCCTGGTGGCACACATCTGTAATCCAAGCACTCTGGGAGGCTGAGGCAGAAAGATTGTACGTTTGAGCCCAGTCTGGGCAACTTAGTGACTTAGTCAGACTGCCTCAGAATAAAAAATAAGCAAGGGAATGGGGAAAAAAATAAGAACCAAGATATATTATGTAAAGGTACAAATTCTCAATAATGAATCTCAACATATTGTATACCTAAAATGTACCAATAAAATTAATGAATTTTAAAAATAAAAACTAAAAAAGTGCTGGGGATGTAGCTCAGTGCAAAGGCCCTGGGTTCAATCTCCAGACTACAGGGTGGAGTGAGGCAAACATAGCCTTATCTGGAAATAGGCCTATTGCTGATGTAACAGTTAAATTAAGGTCATACCACAGAGGAGTGGCCTTAGTCCAGTATGATCATGTCCTCACAGGAGAGGCAAGTGCTATGTAAAGACAGGCACACAGGGAGAAGGCCATGTGACAACAGAGGCTGAGACTGGAGGGAAGGAGGCAGCTACCTTCAAGGAGTGTTGGAGATGGCCAGCCAACCCCAGGGTCTAGAGATCCTGGTAGGATTCCCCACCACCACTTCCCTCAGTGATTTGGGGGCCTTAATTTCAGCTTCTAGCCTCCAGAACTGTGAGGGAATGGGTTGCTGTGTTGTTACCCCATCCAGTTTTGGAACTGCCACGGCAGCCCCAGTAGACTAACTCAGAGGGGTATGGGAGAGCCAGGTCTGCTGCTTGCTTCTCTGCCCCCACAGCTTGCACCCCAGCCCATGCCCACCTGAGGCTCTGACAGTAGAGCAGCTGGGGCAGCAGGCTCTGGAGGACACCCTGGCCAAGGCCCAGGGACAGATCAGCCTCCTGGGCACAGGTGTCTGACACTTGCAGGAGGTAGGCCAAGGCAGCACGGTTCGAGGGGCCGGTGAGACTGGCCAGGGCACCACTCCCCATGGCCTCTGCCACATTGCAAGCCAGCTCCGTGTGCTGTAGCTCCTGGAGGCAGTACAGGACGTTGACAGCACGGGCACACACTGCCATGTTAGGGCGCAGGCAGCCCTGCAGAAGCTTGGCCACCTGAGCTCGGTAGCCCTGGTGCTCACCCTGAGTCAGCAAGGAGCCAGCCAGCAGGGCATTGACCCTCGGAGACAGGAGACCTGAGAGGAAGCGCAGGAACACATCCAGCCGCCCGTCCTCGGCCTGCATGGCCTGCTGTGCAGCGCTCCTGAAGTGCGTGAGGAAGCCCAGTCTGGGCCAGGACATGCCACTGTCAGTGAAGAGGTCAAAGATGGCCCTCTTGGATGCACTGTAGTAATATGCAGCTGCCACATACTCCTGCAGGGACAAGTGGATGAAGCAGTAGGCCACTGAGGAGACCAGTGTCTCCTCCCGCTGCAGGAAGAAGCTGCACAGAGCACCTTGCAGCAGAGCCAGGTCCACACCAAAGGCCTTCATGTCTTGCTCGTAAAACACGAACTTCTTCTTGACTAGCCCGTGGAAGGCCATTCGGCCCAGTGTCCCCACCATCTTGCGGCTGCCATGGGCCACCTGTTCAATCCGGGGACTCACCCTGCCCTTCTCCTGACCCTCCCCGCCGAGAGCCATCCTGAAGTACCATGAGTAGAGCTCACACAGGGTCTGTGGAGGCCACAACTCTGGGTCCTGGGGTGCCACCCTGCTGCGAAACAAGTGACTTAGTACCGTGCCTGTGAGCCTGCAGAAGGCTGGGACTGTGCACATCAGATACAGGGCCCTGTCAGCCTGCACCTGGCTTAGGATCTGGCCCACAAGGGTCTGGTCCTCAGGGAACATCTGCTCTAAACACCCCTTGATCTCCTCCTCAGTAAAGCCCCGGATCTCAGTCATCCGGTCCACTAGGCCTCCTGGGATCTGACCGGCTGCTCCAGGACGGGAGGTGATCCAGACAGAAACTTCTGGGAAGAGGTTGCCCGGACAATGTTGGTGACCAGCTGGTTCACTTGGATCTCCCTCTTGGGGTCTGTACAGACCACAGTGTTGGAGAAGTCCAGAGGCATTTTACACTCATCCAGGCCGTCCAGGACCAGGAGGACCCTGGCTGGGGCTGTCACTGCCAGGCTGGCCTCCCCAGCGTTTGGGATGACAGAGCAGATGAGTCTCTCTGCAGACAGCTTCTCATAGGCATTGAGATCCCGGAAGGTGAAAGGCACCACCAGTGAGAATTCCTGGCTGAGGTGCCCTTGGGCCCAGAGGCGGACAAAGTGCCTCACCAGGGTGGTCTTGCCCATACCGGCCACCCCAACAGTGATGGAGATGCGAGGTGGGATAGACACCTGGGACAGAGGCAGGAAGAGCCTGTCCAGGGCGATTGGCCTAGCAGGGCGCTGGCCTCCACGAGTGGCCTCCACCTGCGTGAAGTCGTGCTCCTGCAGCTGCAGGTCACTTAGGCCCTCCACCAGCAGGAGGCTGGCCAGCCGGCGCACAGGGCCACCCAGCTCTGGAGTGCCTCCCACTCTGCCCAGCAGGGCCTCTCGGTGCCTGTGTATCCTTGAATCTGCAAACACAGGCCAGGAGGAAGACAGGTAAGGGTTGAGCCAGGGGAAAGGGCCCCAGTGTCAGCCTCCCAAGTGCCCCTTACCACTGCTGTGGGGTCCCAGTGGAAAGTCAGGTGTTCCATCAGAGGTCTCCAGGGTCTGACCTCCTTGACTGCTCTTCCAGGCCAGCAGATCCACAAGGGCCTTCACCTGCTCAGCTGGAGAGCCAGTACCACGTGCCTGGATGCCCTCCCCGCCCGTCCGCACCTCCTGTTTCCTCATGGAATCCAGGATGGCAGTCAGAAACTGTGAAGACAGGGCCCAAGCCTGCTGCCCAGTACGTATCTGTCCAGTAGCCCAGGACAGGTGAGTTAGCCTGGGAAGAGGATAGAAACTCCCTTCCTCTTTTCCCAGTCTGGCCCCAACTCTATGAAGGGGCCGGAGGGCTGTGCACCCCTGGACACTGAGAACAATTATGTGGATGCAGGGGCCAACTGGACAGGACCTGGACTCAGACCCTGGTTCTGCCACTTACCAGCTGGGTGACCCTGGGCAGGCTGCGTCACCTCTCTGCGCTTTGGTGTCTTCATTTGTAACCTAGAAATGGGAGTAAGGTTATGAGCTGTTGGCTCAAAAGGAGGGAGAAATGAGTGGCCAATGTGGAAAGGATTAGCAATGCTGATTCCAGCCAGCTGACATTCTGGGACAGGGGAAAAATGTGGTGAAATGGAGACAGAGACAAGGTCAAAGTTGCTAGGGGTTGGGAAGGAGCACAGGGGATACGTAGGGTGGTGACACTACTCTGTGTGGTGCTGTAATGGTAGACGACAGCATGTCCAAACCCACACAATCCAACAGCAAGAGGAACCCTAGTGTGAACTGTGGACTTCGGGTGATGGTGCCGCATCAGTGTAGGTCCATCAATTGCAACAAGCAACGCGTACATGGGAACTCTAGTTCTCCATCAGTTGTTCTGTAAAACAGCTGGGCATGGACCCAGCACTCTGGGAGGCTGAGGTAGATTTTCACAAGTTCAAGGCCAGCCTGGGCAGTTTGGCAAGACCCTACCTCAAAATTTAAAATATTTTAAAAGGGCCAGGGATGTAGCTCAGTGTTAGAGTGTTTGTTTAGCATGGGTAAGATCTTAGGTTCAATCCCCAGTATCATAAAAAAAAAAAGTGCTCTAAAAGTAAAATCTTTTAATTTAGAAAAGAAGGAAGAGGGCCAGGGATTTAGCTCAGTGGGACTGTGCCTGCCTTGCAAGCGCAAGGTCCTGAGTTCAATCCCTGGTACAAGAAAGAAAGAGAGAAAGAAAGAAAGAAAGAAAGAAAGAAAGAAAGAAAGAAAGAAAGAAAGAAAGAAAGAAAGAAAGAAAAGAGTGGGAAGGAGGGCAGCTGGCTCTCAGGGAAGCAACACAGCTGCTTCTCTTAGTTTTCCTGGGACTCCCTGGGAGCACAGGGTCCCACCTGTTTGCTCCTGGGGATGGTGATGCAGAGATGCCAAGGGGGAAGCCACAGTGCGTCCTACTTACACACATCCCTCACCTCCTTGGTGCCAAGAGAGGCTGCCCCATCTGCAGTACCCCCCAAGCTCATAGCTCAGGTGGATACTGAGAACCCCAAGCCAGCTGCCACTGTCCACCCCTCCTTACCATGCACAGGGGCCACTGCTCTCCCTCCAGCAAGGCCCCAAGGACTCAGGGGTGGGGGTCAGCCACCTGTTGTCTAGGGTTCTAGGAGAAAAAAACATAGAGTGGGGTCAGCTGAGACACAGCCCATTGCTCCTAGTACAGCTCCTCATTAAAAATGATCCAAGTGTGGGCTGGGGATTTAGGTCAGTGGTTCAGCTGCCTGCTTTCCAAGCACAAGGACCAGAGTTCAATCCCCGGCACAAAAAAAAAAAAAAAAAAAGAAAGAAAAAAGAATGATCCAAGTGTAGGCAGAACCAATAGAGTGAAAATGGCCATACTTCCAAAACTGTTATAAAAATTTAATGCAATCCCAATCAAAATACCAATAGCATTCCTCACGTACCTAGAGAAAACAATCCTAAAATTCATATGGAACCAGAAGAGACCTAGAATATAGCAAAAGCAATCCTGGGCAACAAAGGCAAGGCAGAGAGCATCATAATCCCCATTTAAAGTTATATTATAAAGCTACAGTGATTAAAAAAAACAGTATGGTATTGGAAAAAATAGATTTGAGGGTAAGTGGAACAGAATAGAAGATGAAGAAACAACTTCAAGCACACTCAGCCACCTTATCTTTTTTGGGTTTTTTTTTCTGGTACTGGGGATCGAACTCAGGACCTTGCACTTGCCAGGCAGGTGCAGCACCACTGAGCTACATCCCCAAACCCAACCACCTTATGTTTGACAAAGGGGCCAAACACCTTCACTGAAGGAAAGATAGCCTCTTTAATAAATGGTACTGGAGAAACTGGCTTTCCACATGCTGAGGATCAAACCTAAACCCATATCTCTCACCATGCACTAAACTAAAATTGAAATGGATCAAAGGTCTAAATATTAAAACAGAAAGAGATGGGCCAGGGATTTAGCTCAGTGGTTTTGCTGCTTGCTGCGCAAGCCCAGGGACTTGAGTTCGATCCCCAGTACCAAAAAAACAAAAAACAAACAAACAAAAAAAACAGAAAGAGTTAAAGTCATCGTACCACAGTGACACATGCATACCCGTTTATAGCAGCTCAATTCATAATAGCTAAATCTTGGAAACAGCCCATATGCCCTTCAACAGATGAATGTGTAGGGAACAGAGAGAGGGGACATCACCAGAACCCCTGCAGTGGGGTCCTGTTCTCCTGTGAGCCACAACAACACCAAGTAAATTAAATAATAAAGACAGGAAACAAGACTTAGAGAAGAAGCTAATCTTTGAGCCTGATCAGTGCTGCTTTGGGCAGCAAAGACAACAGCACTCCAAGCTTGTCACTATTTATTGGGTTTATAGGGCATATCAAATGACTCAGATGGCAACTGATAATCCTAAATTGACAATGATCTTATAATTGGAGGAAGTATCAGATGTCCTGGAGGGTGGTAGTAATCCTATGAGTTGAGGATCTTATGTTGATAAGGATCTTAGGTTGATGAGAAGCTTAAATTGATTAGGATGATGAGATGAGCAAAACATTCTTAGAACAGTAGGTGGGATGAGTTAAGCTGATAAGGAATTTGTCCATCCCTAGGTGAAACTTTTCTACAGTTCTCCAAAACCCAGGATGTCTTCACCTGATGTAATCTTGCGCTTGAGCATCACAGGACTATTGAACCTCAGACACCCCTAATCATAATTTAATTGTGAAATTATTTTTCCCCAAAATTATGTAGAATGGTTCCCAACATGAATGGATAAAGAAAATGTGTTATTTATATACAATGGAGTACTACTCTGCCACAAAGAAGGATAAACTTGAGACATTTTTAGGTAAATGGATGCATCTCAAGACTATAACCTTAAGTGAAATAAATCAGACATGTAAGTTTAAATATCACATTATTTCTCTTATGCGAGAAACCCAAAGTATAAATTAGGAGCAAAATGGAGACTATATATTAGGAAGTAGAAAGAACTTGTTCAAATGGGAAGGGGAACAAGGGATGGGAGAGGGGAAAGAGAAGGAAGGGAGGGTAGATTTTTTAAAAAGAGATAATTGAGGGGAAAAATGGAAACAGAACTTTTATAAATGGGAAGGGGAAGAAACATTGAAAGGAGGAAAGAGGAATGGGAAAAAAAGAATTAAGATATATATTATGTACAGATACAAATTCCCCATGATGAATATGATCATTATGTATGGCAAACATGCATTAATAAATAAATTTTTAAAAAATGATGCAAGTGGCTGGGCATGGTGGCACAGACCTGTAATCCTAGTACTCTGGGAGGCTGAGGCAGAAAGATCATAATTTTTAGCTCAGCCTGGGCAACTCTGTGACTTAGTGAGGCCATGTCTCAAAATAAAAAATAAAAAAGTGCTGGAGATGTTGCTCAATATGAAGACTCTGGGTGCAATCCCCAGTACTGAAAAGAAAAAGAAAAAGAAAAGGTAAAGAAAGAAACCAGACCGAGACCACTGTCCTCTGACTTCTGCAAAAATCCTGCTGGCTCTTCTTGCTCTTTTATTCTTTTAAATGTAAAAACCAAGAGGAAAAAAGCAGGGGGGTATTGACTGAAGTTGAGATGTGCATATGGATTCACTTGAGTATTCAGAGGTCTTTAGGCTCTAGAAAAACAGGCCTTTTTTTCTTCATCTAGATCTTACCAACTAACTTTCTTATTTTGTATTTAGGCTCTTAAAAATAGTTTTTGTTACTATGAATATTGTTGGTGTATAAGAGAATGATTAATTTTGTGTATTTTATCTCATAATTAAGCAAATTCACCATTTTTTTTTTTTTGGTCCTGGTGATCAAACTCGGGACCCTGTGCTTACAAGGCAGGCGATGGCACCACTGAGCTAAATCCCCAGCCCAAGTTCATCATTTTTAAGTTACAGTCAGAACTTGATATTCAACTGCTTTGAAACTCATCCAACTTGGTGCTCAACACATTTTGACATGAAAATTTTGTCCTGGTCTGGTCATTTATCTTTTTTTTTTTTTGATACTGGGGATCGAACTCAGGACCTTGCACTTTTGAGGCAGGTGGTGGCACCACTGAGCTAAATCTCCAGCCCCTGTCACTCTTCTTTTGAATCCTTTTACTTCTTTTGAACTACTTTTACTAACACATTGTCCACACAACCCCTTCCCTAGGGCAGTACTGGGTGCTGATCTCACAGCTGACATTCTTCATGTCTGGATGAAATGTTGCCTGTGGATTCCATGCTCCTAGGGCAGAGAAGGTGTGCTGGTCCCAGCACCCAGAAGGAAGTCCCCCACCACCATTCCACGCTCCTAGGGCAGAGAAGCTGAGCTAGTCTCAGCACCTGGAAGGAAGTCCCCCACCACCCCTCCATGCTCCTAGGGCAGAGAAGGTGAGCTGGTCCCAGCACCCAGAAGGAAGTCCCCCACCGCCATTCCACACTCCTAGGGCAGAGAAGCTGAGCTAGTCCCAGCACCCAGAAGGAAGTCCTGCACCACCATTCCACACTCCTAGGGCAGAGAAGCTGAGCCAGTCCCAGCACCTGGAAGGAAGCTCCCCCGCCACCATTCCATGCTCCTAGGGCAGAGAAGGTGAGCCGCATGGGCGCCAGAGGCAACCCCCACCCCCACCCCCGTGGAAATGAGAAGACACATAAACAAGCCTCAAGAACAGACTTCCAGATCATCTACAGCAACTCCAAAGGGAAATGAGATGGAACAGTCTGATACTCAACCACCTGGACTCTCTGAAC